TACTAATTGGTTAAAAGTGGGTGACAAAAATACCCCATATTTCCATTTAGTTGCCTCGTCAAGGCGCTTAAATAATGTGATTTGGGGTCTTGAGGATGAAAGAGGACAGTGGTGTACCTCCGAATTAGAGAAATGTGGCATAGCTGATAGGTACTATCGAGGACTATTTCAAAGTCAAAATCCGTGCGATTTAAATCTCTCCAGTCTAGTTTTCACAAATTATCTTACAGAAGAGCAGAATCTCGGGTTGATAGCTCCTATATCCGTTGAGGAAATCAAAAATGTGGTATTCAGTATGGGGAAAACTCAAGCCCCAGGACCAGATGGATTCACAGCCAGTTTCTTTCAACATTATTGGCCCATGGTTGGACAAGACGTTACTCAGGCAGTTTTATCGTTCTTTCGTACAGGGAAGTTACTGAGAAGCTTTAATCGGACTTGGATATCTCTAGTACCAAAAGGATCGGAAGTTCGCACTATGAAAAACCTTAGACCGATTAGTCTTTGCCAGGTGGTGTACAAGGTCATTTCCAAGGTGCTAGCCAATAGGCTTAGCAAAGTATTGCCCTCGATCATCTCTCAATCCCAAAATGGTTTCATTAAAGACCGTTAGATTGTGGATAATATTATGATAAGTCATGAGATTTCCCATCATATTAAAACACTGTACTCGGGCTCGAAGTGCTGGATGGCGCTAAAACTGGATATGGAAAAAGCATATGATCGTATTGAGTGGCCATTTCTTTTTGAAATGATGAAGGAGTTGGGGTTCAATAGCCAGTTTGTTTCATGGATCCAGGAGTGTGTCACCACTGTCTCATATTCCATCCTAGTTAACGGCACCCCGTCAGCTTACTTCAGACCCTCGAGGGGACTACGCCAAGGAGATCCTCTGTCTTCTCTATTATTCGCCATATGTACGGAAGGCTTCTCTGCAATGATAAATCAAGCAGTAACCTTGGGATTTTTGGAAGGAATAAGGATACGCCAGACCTGTCCAATGATATCCCACCTCTTTTTCGCTGATGATTCTTACCTCTTCGTAGAAGCAACTCGTGAGTCATGTTCGAACTTACTATCCCTGTTCCAGGGATACGAAAGACTAAGTGGGCAAAAGGTTAATCTCTCCAAATCAGCAGTCTTATTTAGTAAAAATACTAAGAGTGAAGATGCAAGCTACATGGGGTCAAGGTTGGGAGTTGGGGCAATAGGGGCACAAGATTCTTACTTAGGTCTTCCCTCTCTTATTCCAAGAACTAAGAAGGATACCTTTCTTTTCATCGAAGAAAAGGTTGGGAAAAAGTTGCAAGCCTGGAAGCAACGTACCTTATCCAAAGCAGGCAAGGATATTCTAATCAGAACCTCTGCCACTAACATACCAGTACATGGCATGATGTGCTTTAAGTTCCCTGTAGAAACATGTAAGCGGTTAAATGGATTATTGGCAAGGTTCTGGTGGGGCTCTGCTGCTAACTTGGATCACCCAATTCATTGGATATCTTGGAAAGGTTTAGCCCAAAGTAAATTTCAAGGAGGATTAGGCTTCAGAGACTTTAGGGCTTTCAATCAAGCTCTTCTAGCAAAACTTTGTTGGCGTATTTGGACTAATCCCAATTCGCTCATTAGTCGGGTATACAAAGGAAGATATTTCAATGGAAGTACGATTATGGAAGCCACTATTGGCTCTAATCCTTCATGGGGTTGGAGAAGTATCTTATATGGGAGAGAACTGCTTGTGCAAGGCCTGCGGTGGCAGATAGGTGATGGTACTAAAGTGGAAGCCTTCAAAGATAATTGGCTACTAGCAGATAAGCCATGCCCTCCTATTCTCAGGAGGCATGAGGTTAATTTTAACCCAAGGGTGTCCTTTTTCATCACAGAAGATCGACGAGGTTGGCATATTCCAAGATTAAGACATTGGTTCGAAGAAAAATCAGTCGGGATTATTCGTAACATGGTAGTTCCCATACTTCAACAAGAGGATAAGTTAGTATGGCACTACACTAAAAATGGAACCTATTCAGTCAAAACAGGGTATCACCTTGCATTGGATAATTTATTAATTCTCACCCAAAAAGCGACGGTTTCCATCTTTGACCCTCCATTTTGTAAAAGAACGTGGTCTCTTGACGTCCCACCTAAGCTTAAATTCTTTATTTGGCAATGTCTGAAAGTTATCCTGCCAATCTTTACGGCCCTTAAATCTCGAGGAGTAAGATGTCGAGCTAGATGCCCAGTATGTTGGGTTGGCAAAGAAAGTATTGAGCACCTCTTTCTCCATTGTCCCCTTACTCTTGAGCTCTGGCATATGGTGGGTGTAAGCTGTTTAATTATTTCCGCCCCAACTGAGAACTTCGGTATCTGGTGGCGACATGTTATGAACTCGACGAACTTCCAAATCCACTATCTCCCCTGTATTTGCCTTCTTTGGAGAATTTGGAAATCTAGAAATAAAGTGGTCTTTGAATTCACTCAACCACTCGCCTCATCGCTTGCCCGTCAATTCTTCTTCTAAGTCCAAGAATTCTCCTCAGTCTCCTCCCAGCCCCTAGCCTTTCTGCCCCGCCCACAGTCGTCTCCTCGCCATGTCAGTTGGATTGGCCCCCCAGATGGTCATATCAAGATTAATTTCGATGCCGCTGTTCGTGCCCCGGATTGCTCGTCAGGACTCGTCGCTCGAGGATCAGATGGGCAAGTCTTTTTGGCCTTGGGATTCCATCACCCTGGAGTTTCGAATCCCTATCTTGCTGAACTTTTGGCTGCAAGGGACGCCATCTCTCTTGCTATTTCTCGAAGGCTTCCCCTCGTCATCATTGAAGGAGATTGCGAAGTAGTCATTCGACAACTTGATGGGAGATGCTGTGAAGATTCTGTGGGTGGGCCCTTGCTTCGTGATTGTTTTCAGTTGGTGAGGTCCTGTTCCTCGTGTATTGTTTTTAGTGCGGTTCCGAGGACTGCCAACTGGGCTGCCCATAGAGTGGCAAGACAAGCCCTGTTGCTGTCCCCTGTAGAGATAGCGTCCTTTGATTTTGTAGGGTGGTTGCATTAATGGTCTTTTGCGGGGCTCGGGTAGAGGTTTAACTATTGTACTTCGTTCTTACTTGGAAAAAAAAAAGCAGAACTAATGGCTTTTCATCATTCTCCCACGAGGACTCATTCTCACGTTATAACCTTTCATTTCTTTGCACATTCACGGTGCCACCCACTCCAAGCAATTCTCGTGGTACATACGAATTCTTGATCTTATGATTTGTGATTAATATGGGTACCCGCGGGTACCCGTTATCCGTCCTGTACAGGTAATGGGTACCCGTTAACCCGTGCGGGTTTGAGACATGGGATAGAGTTTCCTCTCTAAATGGGAATAGGTACCCGTTTCAAACGGGACGAGTACCCATTCCCGTCCGGTTGCCCACCCCTACTAGTCCTGCTACCAGATCCCAAACCCCATCAATATTTTCGGTGACGAATTTATATAATTGACCCCATGAAAATAGTGAAAACGATAAACAAACAAAATTTGCAAAACCCTCTTTGCTGGGTAATTATAACCACTTACAAAGTCCAGGTTGGTTTGTTGGAGGATAAAATATCAATCAGTTTCCAGCTCTTAAACACCGCCTCTCTGTCTAGCTAGGGTGATATTTTTTGTTTGGTGAGAAACAGAGCGCAGGGGACGCTCTAACTCGTAATCATTAATAATTCGAGGCGTTTGTACATCAAGAGAATCAAACAACCAGTAGTGTAAGCTAGGACCCGGGGTATCCAATACACAAGCTACGGTGATATTTATATATGTATATGGTGCTTTCTATTGTTATATCATACAAAATTTAGGGTATTGAATACTTTTGGTATGAAAATGCTATTTAAATCTTGAATTAACTAAATTATGGACATTATTTAGGGCGATAATTGGCTGTTGTCTGGGTTGCAGCCCATAGCTGCTACCCATTGACGTGGCAGCATATTATTGGCCCATGAAATGTTAATTAATTATTATACTTATTTGGAACAAAACGGGACGGAAACGGCTTCTTTCTTGGACCGGACGGAGAAGCAGCCCAACAGTGCTGTCTCTTTACTCTTTAACTTTTATTACTATTATTATAATCAAAACTAAGATGGTGCATATAATTTATTGGATGTATATCAACAAATCATGACCTTCGATTTTGGTTTCAAATTTAATTGATCTTGGTGTATGAAATTTATATATCAATAAAACCTAGATTTTAAACTTAAGGTATATTACTAAGTCCCAAACTCCAGTTAATTCAAAATCTAGATATTGTTTTCTTACTTAGAATGTATCATACATTTGATTTTACTCAAAACACAATTAAACCATTTATATATCAATCATTGTAGCTTAGAACAACGTATGAAAAAACTAATAAGAAAACAAGCTGGGGAAATCTCATACTATTCTGTGTACTCATCCCGATCTCGTAAAACCACGTAAATGATATATCGTGTTCGTTTTTGTTTCCATTTTCCAATTTGTTCAGCTTGGTATATAGCCATAGTTTCCAGTACTAATACAGCTCCAATATCCCAAAACCCACCATTTTTTTACCATTTATATAATTGACCCCGTGAAAACAGTGAAAACGATAAACAAACAAAATTTGCAAAAACCCTCTGTGCTAGGTATTTTATAACCGCTTACAAAATACAAAACCCATGTTGGTTTGTTGAAGAGGATAAAAGCTCAATCAGTTTCTTCTCTCAAACACCGCCTCTGTCTCTCTCTCTCTCTCTCTCTCTCTCTCTCTCGGCGAGTTCCAAGCAACACACCTCCATGCCTAATAGTGACAAACGTACTACTGCCTTTATTAACACTGCTTCCCATTCTTCTCAACTGCCCTTCATAGCTTCGTCATACCCATAAAAAGTTGCAAGTTTTCCGGGGGAGAAAAGTTCAATTTCTTCGCCTAGTTTTTTGCCCTTTTGTGTTGATCCAAGAGATGGGAAGAGTAAAGCTTGCGATAAAGAGGATAGAGAACACGACGAACCGGCAAGTGACTTTCTCAAAGAGGAGAAACGGGCTCATCAAGAAAGCTTACGAGCTCTCTGTTCTCTGCGATGTCGATGTTGCCCTCATCTTGTTTTCCCCTTCCGGCAGGCTCACCTTCTTCTCCGGCCCCAATAAGTAAATATAATTTTCCCCCTTATGGTTCTTTGACCAATTTCATGAACTGGGTTTTGATCAAAATCTTGCCTTTTTTCTTGGGTTTGGTCAAAGTATTGAAGATATTCTGAGCCGATACGTCAACCTCGCCGAGAAGGAACGAGGACGGTGAGAACTATGAAGAATTCCAGTCTTGTGTTTCATGTTCTTGTTATGATCACTTCTCTAACCGATTCGAATTTTGATTCTCCACTATCACGTTCAAGGCTGAATAAGTTTGAGGTAATTATTGATTGCTAGCTCTTCGATCTGTTGGGCTTGTGGGGGAAGTTTAGGAGCTGAGATTATTTGGCTATGGTATATGCGTGCAGTTGTTGCAAAACGCTGTTGCCAAGTTGCAGGCTGAAAGCGACCATCACGCTGCTTGCTTCCCAGGTGGCGGCGGCGCAGGACCAAGGTGGTGGTGACTTTGAAGTTTGATTACTAGCTAGTTTGGTTTGCATGCCCACTAGTTTTTGTTTCTTTGCCGCTTTCACTTTCCATTTCGCTATCAAATCTAAAGGAGTGATTAACAACGTGTAACTATTGGCTTTGGTTTTGTTTTTGTCCTTGCTTGGATCTTTTACTCCCGCCAGTGGCTTCTCAGATGCTTCTGACAGCCAGCTCCAGGTATATCTATCAAATCTATGTGCAATGTGTATCCACGTGAGCTAAAATACCAAGTTTTTTTTACCCCTTAATAAAGTCTGTAAAAAAAACAAAGTCTGTTTTGGGATAAAAAGCTGAGCTTACACTAGTTCATAAGAGCTGGGTACAACTTACAAGTGAATGCAAGTCATTAAACTAGGAAACAAAAGAAAATGAGTTGAGGAATTTTTTTAGAGGAAATTGAGAGATCAAGAGGTACAAGTTTACTCAATATAAACAAATATACGCATCTCTTTTCTTTTCTGTCACATTTATGCTTACTCTTTTATTTGCACCATATCAACATCATTAGGTTTTCTTTTTCTCTTTAAGAGGGTTATACCAGTTTAATTTTGGTGTTGCATACCATTTAAGAAAACTGCTAAACCAAACCATTGTTGGACATTAAGTTTTCATTTTTTACCACACTGCACTGTATGCTACACACTAACCAACAGTTGAATGTTTTTTTTTTCTAAGACAAAATTTGTCACTTGTTTGATATCTGGGTTTTTTCTTTAATAAAAATTACTTGATTTTGATTTTTGAAATTATATTCACTTTTAATCATTTGAAAAGAAAGTTCAATTCATTCGAAAAAGTGTTATCTACTCTACAATGTGTATGTATCATGATGGTAAAGAATGATAGATACAACTAAGCATAATGAGAAAAGACAATTTCTCAGGATGGTTCACCATAAATCATAATACATAAAAATAATATAATATGGTGAACCACCATAAGAAAATGCGTTTTTCCTGTGTGGTTTACCACAATATATAACCTTTACATGATTTTATATCAATTATAGTAGTAAAAGGTTTCTATTAGGGCTGGCTATTTGGACCGGGACCGGATGAAAAACCGGAAACCGGACCGTATAACCCGGACCGAGACCGGACCGGGACCGGATAGTAAACAATCCAATCCAATCTTTGGGCTTAGATTTGAGGTAAAAAACCGGATAAAGACCGGATAAGAGAGCTTAACACCCAAAACTTAAGGGTAATTTGCATAAACGGTCACAAAACTTTGCACTTAGTACAAAACTTAACCAACTCCTCACCCTTTTAGGCCTTAGGCCACTCAAATTCCCACAATCTCAATATAAAATCAAGACCGAATTGGGACCGGACCGGGTCAAGACCGGACTGTATCCAATCCAATCTTTGGTCCTTATATTTTCAAACAAACCGAACTGGACCGGATCAATTTGGGCCAATTTAACCGGACCAGACCGTATAGCCACCCCTAGTTTCTATGAATAAATGTACTAATTCTTTACCATGAAGTACAGGTTATGAACTATAGTGAATAACTCTGGAGAAACGTCTTTGCTCATGGTGGTAAATTGTCCTTGCCAATCATTATCATCAAAGGACGGCAAACATTTATCATGATGGTTCACCATAGTACATAACATAAACCTCATGATAAAGGATCAATACATGTGTTCATTGCAACTTTTACTAATATTGCAAAAAAAAATTCGTTGAATCAGTTATCTTTTACTATTAAATAAAAACAAATTGCAATTCGCAATTTGTGAAACCAATATTTCAAGTTGGCCTCTCATGAATATGACACTTTTACAAGGGTTTGAACTTTTAATTTTAAATACAATAAATAATATATTTTTGTACATTACATACAATTTTTCTTAGATAAGAATCTATAATTCGAGTTCAAACATGAATTAAATGTTTATCAAGATTAGTGAATTCAAGTTTAAACATGAATGAAATATATCAAGATTAGTTTATTTAGAATTTGGACCTCATAGTGAATAGCCATGACTAACCTTTTAGGGGAAAAGATTTATTATTTCCATCTAGCTCGTTAGGAGAAAAATATTAGGATCATGGATTCATTGAATCCATAGATTTAACAAAAAAACATTATGTTTTTTTATATATTTTGTATTGTGGATTTTAACTTCATAAATTTGAAATTTCTAAAATCTAGAGATATCAAATATCTTATAATCATATAGATTCTATATCTTAATTTGTGAGATTTTTTCCTCATATTTTATCTCTTGTTTTTTATTATACCACTAAGTACTCTTACCAATAAAAATTTTAAGATTTCTTAGTCACTCTATTCTTTTGATTAAGGCTAAATATGTCATTTGCTAAAAAACTAAAATTTCTATTTTTATTGGATGTTATCAATTGTCAAACAATAATAATAAAAAATTCAATTCTTTTTCCAAAAATTCAGAGAGTTAGAATTTATGAATGGCTTACAATATAAAGATTTAAACTTCAATTTTCCTAACGACTCCTTAATGTGTTAACATTGCGAGCGGATGATTATTGGCAGGAGTTTGAACGAGTTGGTAGATTAAGAGACGAGATTGAGGCCCTGCAGAGACAACTAAGGTACAAATAAAAACTATTTGGATGCATTTATACATATTATTCATATGTGTATATAGTTAACGTTGTTAACGAGGTTATAAACAGTAAAACGACCTGGTTGCTGCAAGGTTTAAACCTGGACGGTTGTAATTTTCTCTTTTCAATTGTTTTTTACTTTTTTGACCGTCCTGGTGCATCTTTTGACTAGGATATTTGAGGGCGATGTTTCTCAAATAATGACAACGGGTGAGGCTGATTACCAAGAACAAATGCTCTATCAGACATTACAACGTGTCCTCAACCGTAAGGTAAGTTCCCTCTTCGCAAAACCCTCTCTTTGTTGATTCAGTTCTCATGCTGAACTCTCTCTCTCTCTCTCTCTCTCTCTCTCAGCAAGTTTTGGAGATGAAGTTGGTCGCTGCTGGTTCAATGTCCTTTTCGCAGGTATTGTGTTCTTCAACTTCCCTTGTTAACAATCTAGTCAGTTTTTAGAAGAGTTTTTGAGATTTTGTGGTGGGAAATGGTAGTTAATGAAGCCCATTGGATGAGAAACAAAGAAGATGAGGACGGCGAGGAAATAAGAAAGGAAATAGATAGCCGAGAGATTACTTAGGGTTTGAATCTGAATTAGGGAATTAGTGTTTTTGTATAAGTAGGGTAAATTGCAGATCGGGTAATGTCCCGTTTTGTACCCTTTTGTACATGTTGCAGTTCAAATCAAGATGCCCCCACCACCAAATTGTATCTTTGTGGACCACCGGATATTCAACCCTAATTCCTAGTTTTGTTGGCACCTGGGACTGGGAGTGGTGCAAGCAACAAACCAGACTTGTCTGTAGTTAGATAGAAGATGACTAACAACTAGTCTCAACTGTAGTATAAATGACTGTAACTGTGAAACGCCTACTTCGCAACAGAAGTAACATAATGACTTCTCTATCTCTCTCTTACTCTCCCCTTTCTTCTTCTTCTTCATCCGCAAGACATCTGAGCAGTATCCATCATTGATAGAACGTGGGATTAGGGTTCTATCGGGAATTGGGGATTTAGGGATTAGAGAACAGAAATAGGGTTTTGAGAAGAGAAAGATAGAGAATCGGCCTAGGCCTTTTGAGGAATTGGGAACGAGAATTGAGAGGACTGGGAGAATAGGGTTTAGGAGAGTTTTCTTAATATTCTTCTTGACTGCCTCTAATGAAATTCCAAAGTACACTTATATAGGAAAAGATAGAAAATCCTAATAATAAACCTAATTCTACTAAAGGACTACTAACCATAATAAGAATTACCCTATTAGTAATAATAATAATAAAAATAAAAACCCTAACAAAGTTGGTTTCCATAATCTCCTCCCCTTCAAACCAACCTTGTCCTCAAGGTTGACCGACTCTACCTATTATTTCATCCTATCATCCGTGTAGATCGCACATTGTCTCCTCCACTTCTTGCGCTTCCTTTTCTTCCAATCATGCTCCAACTCTTCGAACTTTACTTCCATAAGCCCACTATTCACTTCCGTCTTGTACAAGAATCTGTCCTTGAGTATCAATCCACCAAAGACTTCAATCTCCAGGTCAATGGCCCATGCGGGTTTGATCCTGTCAAGAGTTTGAAAATATGGACGAATTGATTTTTGTTGAAGCTAGCCCGTCAACTTCTTTAAATGTCTCTTGAATTGCTCCTAGCCCATACTTCATTGAGATTCCACCACTTAAGCCCACTAGTTGATCCTCCTCTTTTAATTTCACACCATATAAAAGAGGCTCAACAAGACAGCTCATTTGGGCCTCAAGCCTTACCTGAGGAATCGGCCCATCTTTCCCTTGAAACTGGTTGGACTTTTCTTCACTGAGCCCGTAGCCGAGTCCATGATTTGCCCTCCTGACTCCAAATGTTGGCCGATCTGCTGTACTTCTCGGCCCATGGAAAGCCCATAAGTCACTCTCTCCCTGGCATGTCCATAACTGAGGCCCACCTCAACCGGTCCATTGAACCCAACTCTCGGTCCATTCAGTCGATCGGCTCGACCCACCGAGGCTCAGCTCTGCTGCTTTGGCCGCTGCAAGGGTTTGCCCAGAGGAGTCTAGCCGCCATCCCCCATCCCCTTCGCCGGTCTCGCCTTTGACGGCGAACAAAGCCTCCGCCGACGAGGCAGCCCGCTGCCCTCCTCCTTTGCCAACTCCTTCCTCGCGTCTTTCCCTGCCAAAGATCCCTTGACCAAACGAACGGTGGCCAACCCTGGAGTATCCGTGCACGTTTTCTCCGCTTCCATTGTTGGTGAATCGATCTTCTCCTTCTTCTCCGACCACGAGCAGCTCACTCGGCAAGGTAGCGGCCTCGACTTCGGCCTCTTCTTTGCGGCAGTCTTCATCTCAACAAAGGCCGCCATCTTCTTCCTCATTCCTGCCTCCGTCCACGGGCGAGACTCCAGCTGGTCGGAAGTCAAACTCGGAGCAATAGCATCGAACATCGCCAGAGTAGTCCTTCCATCTGTCACCGCCTCTGCCTCCAATCCTCGCGCCGCTTGCGCGATTGACGATGCTGGTGAAGAACCCCGGCAATCTCGCTCTTCTTCCTTCCTTGGCGATGAACTCCCCACCGGGCCAAAGGACGGAGAGTCCAATGCTACCCGGCGCGACCCGACTAAGACTACTCTCGCCTGATTGAAGGTCGGCAATGTGATCAGTGGTGACTCGGTGGTCATCTGTTCTTCGTCATTGTGTCTCTGTTCCTTCTTCCTCCGAAATTGCCAGCTCGCCTCTTGACCCGGCGTTGATCTCTTTCTCGAACCCTCGGCTGGGATGTCTTCTTTAATGGTGAGGACCTTTTCATTTCCGGAGACAGCATCATGGTTTTCTTCTTCTCCTTCAAAAGCTACAGTGGCTTTGGCGGTCTTGCACCGCTCCTCCACTCCAATCCAAGGAGTCGTGATCTCGGGAAGGGCACCGCGAGTGGTCACCGCTGCTGGTGATGTGAGGTGTTCGAGCTTTGTATTTAACGGAAGCAGCAACTGTTTGTCTGAGATCTCCGCAACCAAGCCTTATTCTTCCTTGGTCACATCTGCTGAAGTAGCCTCGGCAGCCATGTTCTGCTCTGCTCGTCTCTCACCGTCGCCGTCTGCAGCCTCCTCCGTGATTGTCGAGCCGTCATCTGCAGTCACCTTTGTCGGATCCGCCGATTCTGTATGGATGTTCGTCGCGCGGCGGCGGGCTATAATTTCCTCAAGTTTGGCTAGAAGTTCTTCGAGTCTTGCCATCATATTGTTGTGGTGAACTTCCATGTTAGCTTCATGTTTTGCTAGGCTGGTTTGGGGAGCTCCAATCCCTTGATAGAGGTTTTGATAACAATTTCCTAGTGAAAGTTGTGATGAACTCAGATTCGTGATCATGGCTCTGATACCAAATGATAGAACGTGGGATTAGCGTTCTATCGGGAATTGGGGATTTAGGGATTAGAGAACAGAATTAGGGTTCTGAGAAGAGAAAGATAAAGAATCGGCCTAGGCCTTTTGAGGGATTGGGAACGAGAATTGAGAGGATTGGGAGAATAGGGTTTAGGAGAGTTTTCATAATATTCTTCTTGACTGCCTCTAATGAAATCCCAAAGTACACTTATATAGGAAAAGATAGAAAACCCTAATAATAAATCTAATTCTACTAAAAGACTACTAACCATAATAAGAATTACCATATTAGTAATAATAATAATAAATATAGAAACCCTAACAAAGTTGGTTTTCATCAATCGTTGAGACCAACGATCCTCTAGACTAGGGTGTGGCAACTTGGTATCAGAGCTTCGTATTGACCTGATGGTGATGACGAGAATGGAGGAATGATTACTTTCTTTCTCTAATCGCACTACTGTCGTGGAAACTCAGTTTTGGAAGGATGTCGCGAGCAGAAGGTTGAAGGAATTAGTTCAACCTTGCCCACTGGTGGTCGTTGTTGGTGTGGAAAAGCCGTTGGTGGGCTGGAACGACGACCGAGGAATTCTACCACCACCATGACATCGAGCAACTGGTCTATAGATCAATTGTCCGTCGCAAGCTCGAGTTCAGACAGACAGAGTTTCAAAATAGGAGAACATATTTCCAAATTGCGGTAACAATTAGTATCAATCTCCTCGCCTTAATTTTCCTTACTCTTCTGGCGAGAATCCTAAGGGATGGACTTGGGAGTGTGAGAAGTTGTTTGAGACATATGATTAGAAGCAATCTATTTTGAGCGTAGGGCAGAAATATGGTTTGAATGTTGGATAGCAGGACAAAGAGAGCTCCATAGGAAAGAATTTGTGGTTGCATTGTGTAAGTTTGATTGGTGAGTTTAACAAACTACATAGAGAGGCTCTTTGCTAGATTACCAGGATAAGTTTGAGGAATTGCAGTCTCGGATGGCGAGATATAATCCTCATTCGAAGAGGAAATGACAACTCCTAAGCCATGGGGATGAGAATTTTGAGATAGTGGAAGAATATGTTGAGCAATCATATCAGGAACTAGTAGAGGTGACCATGCAAGATTTAAGTAGTGGTGTAGTAGCCAGCTCTTTGATCATTAAGGGCGGAGTCAAGAAGGTGACAATATTGGTCTTGATTGATACTGGAAGCACTCTCCCTTTCCTTACTAGAAGCATATTTATGTGGGTGATCCTAATGTGTAGGCTTTTATGGTTAAAGCTACAGTTCCATTTGCAGGTCCTCGAATAAACTTAGCGAAGTAGAGCCTACTGTATCGTAAAACCGTCTATATGTGACGTCATTTGGTGGAATGAGACATCAGGTACTGTCATTGCTTCATGATTCTCAAGTAGGTGGACACTATGGAGTCCAAGCTACTTACCATAGAATATGCCTTACCTAGGTCTCCTGCGGCTCTCCCTATTCCAGAGAGAGATTGATAGCATATATACACGGACTTCATTGATGGCTTACCCAAATCTGTTGCCAAAGAAGTTGTGTTTTTAATCATTTATCGTTTCTTCAAATATGTGAATTTCTTCTTCCCGAAAATACCTTATACAACAACGAGGATGGCTTGGTTCTTCTTTGCTGGCATTTTCAAACTTCATGGTATGACACAGACCATTATGTGTGATAGAGATGCACTGTTCCCCAGCAGTTTCTGGTCCACCTTGTTTGATCTGCAAGGAGTGCATGTACACTACTCCACTGCATATCACCCTCAAAGTGATGGGCAAATGGAAAGACTTAACAGATGCCTTGAGGATTGTCTTAGAATCATGGTTTGCTCTCCCAGCATTGGAACACTTGGTTGAGACTTATAAAATGGTGGTACAACGCCAATTTCTAAAGCATCTTGAGGATCACTCTCTTTGAAGCATTATATGGCTACCCTGCTAGTAATTTCGAGCTGAGGAATCCTCTGTCCAAATCAGTAGTATCAGTGGTTGAGAAGTTGCAAAAGAAGCAAAGAATGATAGGAGTATTGAGAGACAATTTTTGGCATGACTCCAAACCGCCAAAAGAAATTAACGGATCGCATCGGACATACCTAGAGTTTCATATGGACGAACTGGTCTACTTGAAGTTGAGGCCTTACGTGCAAGTGACAGCAGCTTCCAGGTTAAACTAAAATCTAGTCTAGAGTGCTATGGTCCTTTTCTGATTAAGAGGAAGGTGGGAGCAGTGGCTAACCTCCTAGTCATTTCGAGCTGAGGAATCCTCTGCCCACATCAGTAGTATAAGTGGCTGAGAAGTTGCAAAAGGAACAAAGATTGGTAGGAGTACTAAGAGAGAATTTGTGCATGGCTCAAAACCGTAATAAGCAATTAGCAACGTCGGCGTACATAACTAGAGTTTCAGGTGGATGAACTGGTTTAGTTGAAGTTGAGGCCTCACAGGCAAGTGGCAGTAACTTCCAGGGTAAATGAAAATCTAGTCCCAGATTGCTAGGGTTCTTTTCTGATTAAGAGGGAGGTGGGAGTAGGGCTAACCTCCTAATCATTCCGAGCTGAGGAATCCTTGGTCCACATCAGTAGTATCAATGGTTGAGAAGTTGCAAAAGCAACAAAGGTTGATAGGAGTACTCAGAGACAATTTGGGCATGGCTCAAAATCGCCAAAATCAATTAACAGATCGTCAACGTACATAACTAGAGTTTTAGGTGGATGAACTAGTCTATTTGAAGTTGAGGCCCTGCCGGCAAGTGACATTAGCTTCCACGTGAAACAAAAATCTAATCCCATAGTGATCTGGTACTTTTCTTATTAAGAGGAAGGTGGGAGCAGCGGCTAACCTCCTAATCATTTCGAGCTGAGGAATCCTCTGTCCACATTAGTAGTATCAGTGCATGAGAAGTTGCAGAAACAACAAAGGTTGATGGGAGTACTGAGAGACAATTTGTGCATGACTCAAAATTGCCAAAATCAATTAACAGATCGACATCGTACATACCTAGAGTTTTAGGTGGATGAATTGGTCTATTTGAAGTTGAGGCCCTACAGGCAAGTGACAGTAGCTTCCACGTTAAACCAAAATCAAATCCCATAGTGATCTGATCCTTTTCTTATTAAGAGGAAGGTGGGAGCAGTGGCTAACCTCCTAGTCATTTCGAGCTGAGGAATCATCTATCCACATTAGTAGTATCAGTGCCTGAGAAGTTGCAGAAACGACAAAGGTTGATAGGAGTACTGAGAGACAATTTGGCCATGGCTCAAAACCGCCAAAAGCAATTAACAGATCATCATCGTACCTAACTAGAGTTTCGAGTAGATGAACTGGTTTATTTGAAGTTGAGGCCTTACAGACAAGTGACAGTAGCTTCCAGGTTAAACCAAAATCTAGTCCAAGAGTGCTTTTGTCCTTCTTCTTATTCTCCTCCTCCTCCTCGACAAGACATCCAAACAACATCCATCGTCGAGACCAACTATTCTCCAAACTAGGGAGTGACAAGTAGACATCTTGTTCGAGAAATCCAAACCAAGTCAACTCAAAATGAAACCTAAATGAACTATCTTTCTCCTCGATTCAGAAATCGATTGAATGCTTTGAATTTCTCAGTGATCAGTTGGTATGTTCTAACAGATTTTCAATCTGCTAAATTACCTAGAAGTCCAACCCACTTACATCTGACCACCCACTCCCACTAATCGACTTCCCTCTACTCCCAAATTCAAGCCACAATCATCCCCTTCCTCCCGGTTCTTAGACTTCAAGATTTCCCCTTACACTGCTCAAAACCCGACCATCACTAATCAGCATAAGACTATATCGACTGTTAGGTAAAACCCAAACCCAAACTCAAACCTTTTGATTCGGTTGTGGTTCAAACTTCAGCAAAAAAAAAAAATTGTGACTTATCTCAGATTCTACTCAGTTTTGACCGAACCTGACCGATGCCCACCCATAATGACACCTACTCGAAAAATAAATAAAAAAATCCCTTCTTCAATATTTTAAGTCGCGTTATGTGTGTGCTTGAATACCTGAACTTTTTGTGCTATATGATTTTGCAGGTTCAGGTACCTCCTCTTGATCATGATGCAAATGGCCTCGTGATCACCGCCAACGAATTGCCTCCGACTGTCTTGGAAAGGACTCCTCACTATCATGATCCACAAAACCAAGTCCTAGACTTCCAGAATTCCAATGTCCTTCTCCCAGACAGGTATACGTTGAAGGGTTAAGTAGCCATGCCATTGTTCTCTTCTAGCTAGTTACTTCTCTCACTAGAACCATGATTTCCAGAAGGCAGCTGGCACCAATCCCTCCGGTTCATATCGAAGATCTGCTCTCACAGGTGAACGTTTGACCATCATGTGTGCAATAATAATATATAAATGTTAGAGAATGTGTCTTGAGCTTTGCCCTGGAGATGGTTAATTAAAACCTAGCTATCTGGGTGTCGACTGGTGATTTGATGCGTTTGTAATGTATATACCTGCAGGCTGTTGAGGAAATGCCAGGGCACAGGACGTGGGAGGAGCTGCTGCTGTTGAGCAGTATGGATAATCTCAACTGAATGAGCATATTGTGCAGTAAGCATTTGTGCTCACAGAACATGGTGAATCTGACCATGTGAGGTAGAGAGAGAAAGAGAGTGGGCTGGGAAACAAGAGAGTGGGGAGTGAGGATGAGAGAGAATGGATTCATGGAACTAGGAAGTTTGAGTAATATGGGGCAGCAAAGATAGGAAGTTCAATGATGAGTACATAATTATTATTATTATTATTAGTAGTAGTAGTAGTAAGATTATTCGTATATTATAATTAGTGTGAAGGAATTCGGGTACTGTAAGTTATGGGATTGTGGTAGGTTGTGTGTTGGAGTATGATCAGTATAGGGACTGTGGCTTGGCGGCCTGGCCTATACACGGCCGAATAGTTTTAAGGTTAATTATTAGGGTTTTGGATGTTTTGTCCTATAGATAGGTTCAAGTCTAATAGAAAGAAGAGAAGAATAAAATAGTTTTAGTAGTATTTTTATGTATTTTTAGCAGTAGCAATTAAGTGGAATACCGATGCATGCATTGAAATGTTAAAAGCCTATTTACTTTCATTTATGTTTCCTGTTTTTTGGAAAACAGATGTTGAAAACATGTGAAAACAACATTTTGTTGTTTCCGAAAACATCAGGAAGCTGCCACTTTCTGTTTTCAGAGTTGGAAACAAATAGAAAATAAAATGAAAAGTAAACAGGTTTTCTCGTTTCGATTGCCAAATTTATGACATGAAAACATAAAACAGGAAACGAAAATGGAAGTGAACAGGGCATATCATTCAACTAAGGAGAAAAAAAGATTTTTTAAGATTTCAGTGTCCGTGCCTAGATGTTAAAGATGTTTTTTATCAACATTCCTATAAAAAAAAACTCAGGATGGGTGAAGCTCTTGAGACACATCCAGGCAATAATGAATGACACAAAGAGAAGCAGAATGACAGGCATGACACCGAATCACAAAACTACAAAAACTATGGTGAAGCCACCGACTTACTCTGAAGTTACATGCAGGCAAGAATTCCAATTGAATGGTATATATGATATAAGGCAGGAAGGTAAGATTATGTTCGTTCGAGAGTACTAGCAGGAGCTGTTATCTGGTAGAACTCAACAAGTGGGTAGAGCTACAACAGCCTTCGGGGGTTCCCGACCCTTAAGAATTTGAGAGTTACATATTGTTGATGCCCGCTCGATCTTCCCTCTTCCATTCCGTACCAGCCGACTCCTCCGCGACTAGGCCTGCACTCACAGAGGTGGGCCTTGTGGCCCGTTAATCCTCCAACGCTCAAGTCAGTATCTTTCTTAATGAGAGAAGTGCTTTTAATGCAAGATTTTAGTGAGAGAAGCCAAATTGAGTAAATGCTTACCCACCTCCCTATTTATAGCCGATCGTTGCTTACCTGGACCTTCCCGTACGGATTTCCACGTCACCCTTGCATTTAATGCGAGTGACCCAAGGCGCTCCCTCCGAAGGTGACTCTGGGCGCCCCTTTCAGTTGCGCGCAACTCCTAAGTGCACCCCCAGGCGCCTAACGTGCGAGTACTCCCACTACTCCGGGCACTCAGGTCAACTTGCTCTTCTGATCTAAGCCCGCGGGCGCCTATCACGGCCCACTCCCGTCTTGAGTGAGCTCACCTTTCCTCAGACTATTTGGACTTCGTGCCTCTTAATGGGCCTCGCCCACATATCGAGGCCTTCTTATTCGTACACCCCCAACACATATAATTGGTTCGGGATTATATGTATAAATAGGAAGAGGGTATATTAAATTAGCAAGCGTGCAAAAAATAAGGAAGAATTGTTGTTTAGACCAGCAGAATAGAGCTACTAATCATCCGCAGGTCCTTGGTTCAAATCGAATAGAAAGTAGATTTTGTTTCTTTCCATAGTATTCAACATCAATTTAGGCATTTAGCCAACAGAAAGCAACCAATATTTGTGTTTTTTATTTTCCTTTAAATTTTCATTTAACTAATAAATAAGTTTGATTGTTGAAGTTCTTTTATAAATACTAATAATGGTACACATTCATTTTTTTGGTTGTTGTGAAAATGGAATATTTTTTAGATCTATAATGAATAATGTTTTCTCAATACTAATATTAGTATGCATCCATTTTTATTATTAAAATAGAATATACCATACAATACTATATGCATTGTTAAATTTTTATATTTTTCAAACTTCTATTGAACTTACTGTGCAAAACTTTTGTGCCGTTATAATATCATAAAATATTTTTTCTTTATAAATATTTTTTGTATTCCTAGTTTTTAGCCATTTACAATAAAATATTAAGAAAACTCCCCCCCTTCCTGCCTAAATCTTGGCTCCGCTCCTAGGTGTTGAGATCTTGGGTCTGCTTGAAGGGTATGACCTGACTGGATGTGTGATAATTTATGGAGTCTAATATGTGCAAATCCGGCAGAGACAAAGAGAATACTCTTGGTGGCGCATTGAAAATAATTTCAAGAGTTTGATTGCCTAAAGGATGTCTAGACGAAGGATGCAGGTAGATCTGAGGTTTGTGCAACAAATAATGTCACATGGGTTCTGCCATTTGGCATACCTTTTCATCTAAGAATCCTATATCTCTTTTTTCGCAAGATAAGAGAGTGAAGCGTGCGGTTTCTGGAATTAGACTATCGCTATTAAACGATAAGTAGTATCCATATCAAAATATAGTGTTCGGAGATAGTGTTGAATGGGATTTTGCTACGATCGGGACTGGATATTTTTCACGTGAGCTTGCTTGTTGAACCATAGCTGGTGAAGAGGCTCTCCGTGAAATTGAATTCAACCATTTGGGGGTAGAAGGCTAAGGGCATATGCATCACAATATCCAACACTGATAGTGACCAAGATCAAGAAGTAAATGGAAGGGTCCATGCCAGGGAGGAGAAGGAAATTGGAGAATCTGATAGAGGTTTTAATGTGACTGAACAGAAGTGTAATGGCACCGCCATCCCAAATTTGGACGAGGAGTCAGTTGGCTTTGTAAACTATGGTGGAAAATCTATGTCACTGATTAGGGGTGGAAATCGGTACGGTATCGGTATCCCAATACCAAATACCGAAATCCCGAATACCGAATTACACCCTAAAGTCAATCCCAATCCCAATCCCTAAATTATTTCGGTATCTCAATCCCAATCCCTAAATATTTCGGTATCCCAATCGGTACTTCGGTTCCCAATCGGTATTATCGAATACGAAATTAATTATCTTTGCAATTAATAATTAAATATATAAATTAGATTTTATTGTTTAATTTAGGGGAAAAAGACTAAGCAAAGAGGTTTGAATTATGATATTATTCAGGAGAATGGAGGAGAGGAGACATCTCAAGTTCTTGTCATTGATAATCTTTAATTTGACGAATTGGAGGTTTGGAGACGATTATTAATAGTGATAGAATGATCTGTATATAATTAAATGACACTTTTGGTGGTTGAGGGTCATGTACTAGTAAATGAGAGAGTCTAGTTGAGAGGATAAAATACAAACTAGCTTATATTTTGGTATTGATCGGTATTTCGGTATATCCCGATCTCAATCCCGTAATCCCTAATACCGAATAACAATTGAAATTCAATCCCAATCTCATTCCCAAGAAATAATATGTGTATTCGGTAATACCAAATATAGACAAATTCGGTACGGTATTCGGTATATCCCAAATACCGGTACCAAACTTCCAGACCTATCTCTGATGGCTTGGACTGGATGTTGTATTTTGGGCCCGAAGAGAAAGGGTTGTGTGATTTGGTAATGGGGCCTAATAATAACACAAGAAAGAGAATTTGTGCTCCAAAGACATGTTCAGTTCAACTAATACGGGTTTTTGGTGTATGGGCTTGGAGGACAACTCGGATGGGTAGGATGAAAGTAGCTTTCTTGATTCTGGTCCACCAGAAAATTACAATACACAAGTGGTTAATGCAACTGATATTCCAAACACGGAGTGGAATGATCAAGCTAATAAGGATCCTTCTGCTGAGATGATTCTCGCAAACGGCGATGGATATGGAGTTGGGAGATGAGAAAGATGATTGACAAGACGATATTCAATACAAGGAGGCTACCCAAAATGGAAGAAATTGAGAAAGTGGAAGAGGAGTCCGAAGAAATCCCAATGGCGACGGAAGTTGAGGTCAACATTGAAAGGAATTTGAGGAAGGATATCTGCTGGAAGCAATTGAAATTGGGGATTTTCTAGGATTCGAGAAGCAGGGTTCCAGTGGAGAAAGAAAGATTGAAAATTGAAGAGACGGTCTCTAAAAGTCAGAAAGGTGTTACCCACACTAAAAAATAAAAGAAAATGAATTGAGAAATCTTTTTTTATCAGGGAATTTGAGAAATCTAGAAGTACAAGTTTACTCAATACAAACTTACAGATCTCTTTTCTATCAAATTTATGCATACTCTTTTAGTTGCACCATATCAACATCATTAGGTGTCCATTCTTTTTTTATGAGGGTGATATCGGTTTAATTTTGTTGTTACATACCACTTAAGAAATTGAAACCTAAAACCTACATATAGAAAACCAACAATAAAACTGCAAAACCAAACTATTGTTCGACATTAAGTTATCATTCATGACAACACTGCACTGTATGCTTACACCACATTTCCTCTTTTTTTAATCATATTCCACACCAAATTGGCATTGCACCACAATGGCCAACAACCGAATGTTTCCTTTTTTTAAGACAAAATTTGTAATTTAGACAACTCAAATAATGACTTTTCATACTGTGAGAGAGTTTAAATGGACCTTGTGTGCCAATCCACTATAGAGGTGGTTGGCATGTCTACCATAATCTTAATCAATTTTTTTTTTTTTGTGTAAAAAATCTTAATCAATCATTATGCAACTTATTTGATATCTTTTTTAAAATAAAAATTATTTGATTTGGATTTGTGAAATTTTATTCATTTTTAATAAACACAATTTTCCGGAGTGTTTCACCATAAAACATAAATATCATATAATATGGCAAACCACTATAAAGAACTGTGTTTTTCCAGTGTGGTTCACCCTAATATATAACATTTCCCTAATGTGATCTCACTTTATTATAGTAGTAAAATATTGCTATGAACACATGTACTAGTCCTTTAGACCTTTACCATGAGATATAGGTTATGTACTATGGTGAATCAGTCCGAAGAATCATCTTTTCCCATGGGGTAAATTGTTCT